TGAACCGGAAACTCCTTGTTGAACCAGGTTGGATCGATGCAACAATAGCCCCTGCGTCAAGGAATTTAATTAAGAAACTATTCTTGAAACACACAATAAATTCCAATAGTATATTTTGCTTGGTAGTTTGTTGTAGTTTTTGGAAAGGAAAAAGAATTATTCTTCAATTTCATAAAAAAACATTTACAAAGTAAACAAAAGGAAAGGCCACAAAATTAGGAAAGCTACAAAATTAAACACAAAATCCCCGTGCTATGAAAAAGAAATATAAATCATAAATTACCAACAAATACTCTAAATAAAAAGTACTATAAATAGAATAACTAAAAATAGAGATTCCTAAAGATCTGACACCCCTCTCAAGTTGTAGCATAAATATTTATCATGCCTAGCCTGCTTACAAAAAACTCAAAGCTAGGCCTAAAAATTCTTTGGTGAAGATGTCTGTTATTTGTTGTGTTGTCGGAATAAAAGATATGCAAATAGCTACACAATCAATCTTCTTTTTTATGAAGTGTTTGTCAATCTCCACATGCTTTGTGTGATCATGTTACACTGGATTTTATACAATGCCTATGAAAGATTTATTGGCATAGTACAACTTCAATGACATTTTTATCGGGATGCACAACTCTTCAATCATAACATCTCACATGCTCCATCAGCCATTGCCCTATATCCTACCTCGGCACTACTCACAATCACATTTTGTTTCTTAGTTGGCCATGTAAATTGATTTTCCTAAGCATAAGTATAGTATCCAGACTTTGATCTCCTATCACTAACTAAGCCCATCCAATCCGCATTAGTGTTTGTCTCTATGTTGTGTTGTGTGGTCTTTTGAAAGAATAAGCCCTTGTCTAGTGTATTGTTTAAGTATCCGAGAATCATATTAACTACTTCAAGGTGTTTATCAATCATAGCAAAGACAATAATTGGTTGGTATGTGATAAGTATATCAACTTTCACACCAACTTTTAATATTGAAATATATTTACTAAATGACCTTCCTTCCGATCTCCCGGTTTCTAGTTGGGATAAATTGGAATGTCTGTAAGTATACACCCTATCATTCCAGTTTCAATGAAAAAATGAAGAACATATTTCCCTTGGGAAACAACAATCTTATTCTTCAATCAAGAAACCTATCTGAGAGATCTTAAGTCCTTGGCTCAAAAAATTGATGAGAGAAGTGTTCAAACGGTTCAACTCATATATGTCGTCACCAATGAGAATTATATCGTCCACATACACAATCAATATGACCATCTTCCCATAATTTGAAAGTCTAAAAATATTGTATGATCTCCTTGCCCTTAAGTATTGACGCGGGCGATTGAGCAAAGAGATTGTGGGATTACCCAAAAGATCACGGAGTTGTCAGGAATCACGATAGACATCTCGCATAGGTTGCAATCTGAAAATAATTCCAACATATTATTCTTCCTTCTTGTCCTTTCTTGTTTTTTATTTTCTAATTAGGTTATTTTCTATCATGAGATTTTTACATATGTAGTGGTGGCTATTTGGATTTTTGAATTTTATTGATTTTATGATTTGGAGACTTTTTTCTATGTCGTGCTCTGCGAAATGTTGTATCATTTTCTATTGCAAATAGTGTGTCTATATTTTGTTTAGAAATAGGCGGTGGAACCTCCTCACCACCCGTATTTTCACATTAAGATGTTTGACATGTTGTTTTCAGTCCGAACAGCCACAAAACATCATCTATTCCCATCAAACACTGTCGACCGCCCATATTATCACTCTCTTGCTATTGCACAACCACCTCTCCACAAAACCCACTACATAAACACATTTTAGGAGCTTTATCGTAGTATCATCACAGTCTATATTATCATCCCCTTGCTATTCCACAATCACCCCACTGCAAAACCCGCTTCCTAAACATATTATAGGAGCACTAGAATAGTATCATCTGGTATCAGAGCCTAACAAATCCTAAATTTTTAGGGATTTGTTGTTTCTATGACAACTTTTAGGGATTTGTTGTTTCTATGACAACCCAAAAAACCACGTAATCAAAATCATCAACCAACTCAATACCTTATTCAATCCTACTACAATTCCTAGACCCGACTAAAACCAGAAATTGAAGAGAAAATTTTATTTCTTCTTAATGATTCAATTCAAGGTGTATTTACATATAGGAGTCTCTCCTCCTTAGATAAGGAAACTAACTAAATAAATTCAAAGAAATTACTATTACATTCCAAGACTAATTAAACAAGATAAAAATACGAAAGGAGAATAATATCTGTAGAAAAGGAAAGACAATAAATATTGTAATTTGAATTTTGAATTTTGAATTAGATCTTTCAACACTCCCTCTCAAGTTGACATGAAGATATCTTTCAGAGCCAGCTTGCATGCTAAACCGTCGAACTGTTTTTTGTGAAGATCCTTTGTTAGAATATCTGCTGCTTGGTCGTTGGAGGGAACATACACTATACAGATATCTCCTCTGTTAATTTTTTCTTTGATGAAGTGTTTGTCTATCTCTACGTGCTTTGTTCTATCATGAAGGACAGAATTGTAGGCGATGGCGATGACACTTATTATCACAGTACACCTTTATTGGTGGTGGACTATGAATTTTTAACTCCTTGAGAATTCTTTTAATCCATAGAACTTCACATATCCCATGAGCCACAGGTCTGAATTCAGCTTCAGCGTTGCTTCTTGCCACGACACTTTATTTCTTGCTCGTTACTAAGTTTCCTCCTAGAAAAGTGCAGTACCCTGAGGTTGATCTTCTATCTGTAACACTTCCAGCCCAATCTGCATCTGTAAATGCTTCTACCTGTAAGTTCTCATTTTTCTTGAATAGTAGTCCTCTTCCGGGTGTTCCTTTCAAATACCTAAGGATCCGATAGACAATCTCCAAATTATGAGTATTTGGGGAATGCATAAACTGACTTACCATGCTAACAACAAATGCTATATCAGGACGAATGTGTGACGAGTAGATTAGTCTTTCCACCAGTCTCTGATATTGTTTTTTATTGACACCATCTATTTTATTTATCTATTTTGACACCATCTATTTTATTTGTCACTTGTAACCTTTTATTTGGTTCAATCGTAGTTTTAGTTGTTTTGCACCCAAGCATTCCGGTTTCACTGAGTAAGTCGAGTACATACTTTCGCTGATTAATAAGGATCCCCTCCTTAGATGGCAAACTCAATACCAAGAAAATATTTTACATCTCCCAGATTTTTAATCTCGAATTTTGTGGCCAATCTTTCTTTTAATTTCTCAATTTCCCTAGCATCATCCCCTGTGAGGATAATATTATCTACATAGACAATGAGTATAGCGAGTTTACCAGTTTCTGAATGTTTGTAGAACATAGTATGATCAGCTTGACTCTGAGTGTATCCATATGTTGTAATTACTTGTCCAAACCTCTCAAACCAGGGGCGAGGAGATTGCTTGAGCCCATACAAGGATTTCTTCAATCTGCACACTTTGTCTTCTCCAAACTTCTTCTCAAATCCTGGTGGAAGATCCATTAATACCTCTTCCTCTAATTCACCGTTTAAAAAAGCGTTTTTTACGTCGAGCTGATGCAAGGGTCAATTACGATTTGCTGCTATGGACAGTAAAACCTGAATAGAATTGATCTTGGCTACCGGAGCGAATGTCTCATGATAGTCAATTCCATGAGTTTGAGTGAATCCTTTCGCTACTAATCTTGCTTTATATCTTTCGATACTCCATTAGATTTGACTTTAGTAGTGAAGACCCATTTACACCCAACAGTAGACTTGTTTCTTGGTAGAGAGACAATTTCCCAGGTTTCATTTTTCAAAAGAGCATCAATCTCTTCCTTTACTGCTATTTTCCAATTTAGATTACTAAGAGCTTCATGTATTGTTCTAGGTTCAGACATATTAGAAATTTTTGACAAAAAAACTTGATGTTTGTGTGAGATTTTTTTGTAGGATAGGTATTTCGAAATGGGATATTTGGTAGTAAAAGAACGTGTTCATTTTTTAAAGGCTATAGGAAGATCCAGATTCATAATCTTTGAATCTTGAGGTTCTGTTGGTGAAAAAATAAGATGGTGAAAAAATAAGATGTGAAAAAATAAGATCAGGATCAGAAATTACCTGTGTTTCTTGAGGACC